AGAAAACACAGGTTAGTTAGATCGGACCGCTTACTAATGATAACGGAACGTCGAGAGATCATCTGACAACGAGGACACACCAACGCTCCCCTCAAGTACTGCTCCATTGATTGGGAGCAGGTGTGCCTAGTTGCCGGGAGTGCGCTCCAGCACCTGTCGGGGCGGAGCTGTTGATGGTACCAGACCCGGTGGTTGTGTTAGGTAATTTCTAGTCAGATAGATATTTGTTAGAGATTTGTTGTATTATCAATGTTAGTGTAGCCAGGATGTCTAGCTCAGGCTGTTAAATGTTTAGTCATTGTCATGAGCTCTGCAGGCTGCATTTGGGCCAAGGTCAATTAAATAAGACAAAGGCTGCAGGCAGGAGGTGATTGTTATTATTAACTGTAATGGTAATCATAATATTTTCTTATGTGTAATGTCAGGTCAAAATGTTCTTAGATACACACCACTAAATCAACAGCCACACACCTTGACTTTCTTCATGTTTTGACTATTGTTATGGTCAGCTGCAAGCTGGCATATCAGGTGACGCCACGGTTTGACGTTGCCTGTGTAGTATGGGGGTAGCCCAACCAAGTGATTATATTGTATAGCCATTTTTAGGTTCAGGGTCTTTCATCTTCCAGGCTGCCTGCGCGCAGGTTTGGGGTTGGAAGAGATCTGGACGTGTAATGTTAATTTTACCTGTGATCCTTTGAATAAACCAGCACGGTTACTTTTTATATAATCCAAGTGGTCTACTTCGTCTTTGTGAGTTCCTGGTTTGAAAGAGCCGGAAGAGGCTAAAACAAATAGAGCCTTTAGTTGGAACCAGGGCATGCGGACGAGGTGCTGGGAGCGAACTAAATGGAACTAAAGGTATGAAAAGTAACTAAAGCTTATAAAGTAACTAGAGCCTATAAGAATCAAATCTTACATAAGTACAGTTTTTAGGTATCTGTATTTTACTTCAGCTTTTTGATTTTGTGCTACTTCATACTTCAACTTCTCTACATTTTAGAGGCAAATACTGTACTTAGTACTTACTCCACAATATTTATTTTATAAGATTAGTTACTAGTCACTTTTCAGAACTATGTTAATGCAAACATTTCAGTCTAATCATAATACTTTATCTCTGGTGGAAAACTCACAACCTAACCAGCACTAATTCAAATGATAAGCTTATATGCCAGTTAAAACTCCACCTTTACTAGCTGCAACATTAAATGGGATGTTCACAATAATGCATCAGTCATTATAATTAAATCATATGATATGCATTCATCTTAAATGTGCCATTCTGTTTAAACACTCTTATTTTTAGTACTTGAAGTGTTTGAGTGTGTGAGACTAATATAATACTTCCATTGTGTTTCTCCCATTCAGAGCAGTAAATGTCAGAATAAGGACAGTGCAGGTGTCAGAGGTTTGCACTCCAGAAGTGGATATACCAGTAAAGATGTGCCGTTCATACCTGCCTGGAGGATGTGAGTGCACAATCGGAGGACAGGGTGTCAGTCTTTGGTTCAAGTTGGTCTTAACACTTTCATGTAGTTCATCTGCAGACCAGGGCACATGATGGCTGTGATGAACCCTCGCCCTCTCTGCCCATAACAGAGAGCTGCTAGACCGAGAAGGCAGAGACAGATGATGATGGCACAGACAGCTGAGAATCGGACAGATTAAATATGCATTTAAAAGTAGATGAAGCTGCTGCTCTAAATGGCAGGAAATGGGAAGCTAATCTCTCACGTCTGCTGCTGGATCTCTGTGAAAAATCTGCCCCATCTCCAGGCTAATAACCTTTCTTCCACTGAGACATCAAATGGACACGAACACGTCCTTCTCATGCAGCACAGGGACAGCAGCTGCACAGCCGAGAGGCGGTCAGTGTGATATTATTTTGTCATCTAAATTATAACCTGTAATGTCTAACCTGTACTCTCAGTTAACCCTATTCCTTCTTTCTCATGCAGAGCAGTGGTACAGTCTCCCTGAGGGAGGTCAAAGAAACCACGTTGCCTCTTTAAAGGCATCCACCGCTCTTGCTAAAAATACTCACACTGATTTGTTCAGTCCTGCCCGTGTGTCCTCGCTTTTGTCACCCTGCCACCTACTGAAGGTGGAATAACCTGTTATTGTTGCATCAGAATATGGAACTCCAAGGTGTTCAACGGGAAAATACACTAGGACCTAAATAAATATATGGATAAATTGTGCTAGGATATATAAATGAACCAATAATTAATGAAATCATTTTAAATGTTCAGCCGGTCCAGGAGGTGCCTGGGCCTCTCTGTAGCATCTTATTGTTGAAAACACTCACAAACAGAAGCAAATGACCACAGAGAGACTCAAGGGAATAACTACAGAGACAAAATCACTGCAAAATATACACCATATCGATGCAATCCAGGTTGTACTGGTCCCTCAGTATGGTAACACAGCACTACACTGCCATGAGGCTTTAGGAAGCAGATGCAGGGTGAGAATCCCCGAGCTGTAAACTGGACCCTCATATGTACAGCCTCAAAATCACTTAGCTTCCTGGTGGTTTTCTTGTTGCTGTCTCTGAACTCTGCTCCCCTCTCGCCTCCTGTGTCTCCACTGACTGAGACACATCACAGTGTAATGGTGTGTGCCTGCTGTCTGACACCACAAGTTGAACTATAATAACCCCCAGTGCTCTGCCTGCCTTTGTCAGGGTTCATGTTTTGACCTCATGCTCCTCTCAGCAGACCGATGTTTTCAGGTGTCGGAGGATAAGCTCTGTTGTCTGAAGGGTTGCATCATTTGTTACATGTCCTGCGAGGGCATCAAAACCAAAACACTTGTGGGGTTTTTTTATTTTGAAAATGAAACATGGTCAAGCCCGAGTGTCTTTTTATTTCCACTTTATCTTCCAGACAAAACACAGAGGAGTTTTTTATTGACATTTATTTGAAGGAATCACGTGATGCACACTCTCCCTGAATCCTGGCTATGTTAGTTCTAATTTCATTCTTCTTTTTGTCATCCACACTCAACTACAGGATGGCGGAGCAGCACTGTGCACAGTAACAGTGGTTAGCTAGGAGTCTGGTAGCAGGTCCAGGCTGTGCGAGGCAGGAGAAACATGACATACAACAGGCTGCGCTGGCAAATGGTAACAAATCTCTCTGACAAGTGATGGTAAATGTTTCATCAATGCTGAACAGTATATTTGTGTTAATAATAGCTTCTGGAAAAGTTACAAGCATAAATATTTGTAATATATGACTTTTACCTGTGTAAGTTCTGGAACACTAGCAACCAATGCTATGTGCAAATGTTTGAAAAAACATCCATGCATTAAAAGGTTAAGCAAGGAGGCTATAAGACTGTCCAGATTTTAAAAAAGGTCAGTAGTGAAAATACATCTTCATGTCCTCTAAGCTCTCTCCTCGCTGCTGTGGAGGACCAGGAATATTCCAAACATTCCTCCCTCCATCTTCACAGGTTCAGTGCCCCTTCCCACGAAACTCCCAGAATCCCCTGGGGCACTTGTTAGGCAACATTAAGCTCACTGTCTGTGGTGTCCTCCTTTGCATTGACCTTCACCTGCTGGATCCTCCCAATTCTCCTTTTACATCACAGCCCCTCTGTGGGAATAGGCTCATGTGTAATGAGCAGTGTTTGGTCTTTTCGTCTCATTTTATGCACATCTTTAGTATAATTACACATTTAGGAGACATGATGTCCACAGGGATTTGTGTGATTGCAAAAGCTGCACAAACCTCGTGTGATGAGGATTAATGAGGTGGCCTCTGTTGTACCCGGTACTTTTTACCATACTGAAAGACCCCGAACCCAACAGGCCTGTACATTATATCTGTTTTGGGCTAACCCCATTCTACACAGGGACGTCAAACCGTGACGTCTCTGGTGCCAGCTGTGCAGCTGGTCATAGCAATAGTCAAAACATGAAGAAAATCAATGTGTGTGTGTGTGTTGATTAAGTGGTGTGTATCTAAAAACATTCTGACAGGACATTCAGTGACATGTCCTGACATTAGGCATAAGAAGATATTATGATTATGATTAAACACGTCATACAGTAATCAACTCTTTATCTAGTTATCCTTGACCATAAACAACCTGGAGTAACTCATGAAAATGAGTAAGCATTTAACAGCCTGAGCTAGACATCCTGTCTTCACTAAAAACATTTCTAATACAACAAGTACCTAACCAATATCTATCTGACTAAAAATACCTAACACCTCTAATGTCAATATGAAGCTGATGGTGGGATGCAGCACCAAAGAGTGTGTTTAACACAATCCCTGATAACATCTGTGAGAAAGCATAGAAATAATGGATTTTCTTTTTTACTAGAACTCAGTAGAAACAGGCAGCAGGTTGTAACTGTCTCTAATTATGTGACAGCTGAGGATGAGTGAGTTCACTGGAGAAATTGAATGTGATGTAACCTGCACACCGAGGAGGTGCTGCTCATAATGCTGTGATGGTTTTATCGATTGACACCATGTTAAGAACAAACGACCTTTAGTCAGCAACTCTCCCAACTGCAGCTTTGTGCTGAACACATGAAGGTCTGACCTCAGCGTCTGCTTTGAAGGCTGCACCATGTTTATCTGCCAAATGTAAATGTTCAGCATTGAAGAGAGGTGATAGCAGCTCAACTGCAGCGGTTGACTTCTGAATGGAGCTTTTACCTGAAGTGGCCGGATGGACACCGCTGAACGATTCTCAGCAACCAGCATCAAACAATGAAGCACACTGCTGTGAGAGGCCCCATGTCTCTCTGCTTCTCTTCCTGTCATCCACCAGCTTCAGTGAGCTCCGAGCACACTGCTCACCTCTGGCAGGAAGTCAGGGCGGGGCCTCGCTTTCTGAAGCCCAGCAGGTGGGGATCACGCCTGCTGTCAAAATAATGTCTGCATGGTATTAAAGGGACTGCCAATCCTGTTTGATTATAAAGGAAGAAAAATATTTTGGGGGGAGGAAACATTATAAATCTCCAGTTTCCCCTGAGCAGTTGGAGGGTGTCACTGTTTGATTGACAGCTGCTAGCAGACTCACAGAACTGGTTCATACATCGCCTCATCAACCACATCATAAATCAACTGTGTGTATAATTTCCACCTTGAATAAACAGTTTCTTAGTAGCTCCATGCATCCCTGCAGCTGGTCAGTTTGTGAAAGACCGAAGTCAGACTCAGCCAGGAAAGTAGTTTGTGGGGCTACAAAGATGCAGTAAGAAGCACATCCACTGTGCAGCATGTCCCCAGTGTGTGTGGAACAGACTTTACAGTCCTGATCTCAGCTCAGCACCAGTACCACTCAACTGCAGTTTTATCATCACAGTATGTATAACACATCGGCGGACTGAACAGGTCTGTCGGTTTCCAAGGTGATGGACAGCTCCTGCTTCTATCTGCAGTGGCGAGCGCATCCCATCACAGTTTACCTGGTTAATTATGACCTCCAGGTTTATGAGCCTGGCTCTATGTGAGGCACTCGGCAGTGAAGGGTGTCTGTGTGGAAACTGGTTTGGTTAAGAGCCAGAGAGGCTGATGCTGAAGTATGAGACACGCAGGGGTCACCATGAAAACCTCTCCTCCACTGATCTGATATGTGTGTGTGACTGTCTGCATTTTAAAAAAGAAAGTCTGAATTTACTGGGTTTATACTGATGTGAGGTGTGGACATCAGATCCAGGCTTGTTTCCTGTAACAGGAGTCAGTCTGACATTCAGCCACAGAGCGTCGACATGTTCAGGTCTGCTGGGGCGCTGACGTCTCTGGGAGTCAGCCACCAGAGCTGCATCCAGGACACACTGCAGGTTCCTCTGGGAGCAACTGGAGAACCCTGACTTCTCACCTGACCTGCAAAAATCCACAGGTCTCCACTCTGAGGTGCCAGCAGCAGGAACCTGGCATCAGTAAACCCAATGCCAGTCCGCTCCACACGGGGAGAAACACCATTAGGCTGCTGACTTTGTGCAGATGGAAAGTGTAGTATTTAAAATAGGAGAATATCAGTGGTGGAAGAAATAGCAGCACAGTGAGAAATACTCTGATGCCAGTAACAGTGTCGTAGACAGACACAAGTACTCATCATCATAAGAAATGACTGGATTTTATTCATGTGAATCTAAAAAACTGTGGCTTCAGACTCCTTCACTTTTTGAATACATTAATGTAGATAAAATTTTAAATCGATAAAATGACCATTGTGCCACCAGTCGACACTCGGTAGCACATGACGACAAAGTGAAAATGTTTTTAGATGTTTTTCGAATGAATTAAAAATCTGATATCTCTCATTTACAAACAGTCTCAGACACACATCTCAAGGACAATTAAAGCAGAGGATGCACCCGTGCACAGTGTTACCGAGACAACCTCATCAAGTGTCATCAAAGCAAAAGGTGTCTACTTTAAAGTGTCTACTTTAAATTTACTACTCCCCCCACACTACGTAATTTAATGTCTTCACTAATAATCTACAAAACCACGTGACTTGCTGTTTTGATGGCAAGTTGATTCTCATGTCACACCGCTGTGGTACATGATGACTCTGATTCTTGTGAACACAATAACACGTCATGCTCTCACCACAGGCACCTCGTACGGGAGGAGGTGTCTGATGAGATGTGACCGGCTGCGTTTGCCTTCTGTTAGCAGCATGGTGGGACAGGTAGTCTAACTTTAGCCAGAGTCAGGCTAGCCATTTCCTCTATGTCCAGTCTTTATGCTAAACTAAGCTAACCTGCTCTAACGCACAAACAAGTGCCTGTCTTCTCATTTAACTGAGGTAAGCGAATGGACACACTTAACCTTTATTATCTTCTCATTCGAGATGATTCATTTTTTCTGACTCGTGAGCTTCAGGTGTTTCACCCTGTCAGAGCTGTGATGTGGTGTGACGGTGATGAGTGACCCGGAGTCACATGTGAGTCAGCAGTGAGTCAGAGTCAGTGTGAAACTCAGGACACCCGGATAAGGCACAAACAATACAAACCAAACATATTTTTAAATATTTTTAAAGCCAGTATTTCTGTATGTCCTCTGCTGAAGGAGCTGCAGATGTTATCCAGATGTCTTTGCTGAAGGTGAGTCCCCCTGTGGACAGTGACGTGTTGAGCCTGTGTACAGGCTTCAGTATGGACTCTGAATTGTTTGCTCTTATTAAATTGTGTGTAGGAGTGCCTTTTCCTTCCACGTAATGATATTATGGTCTGTTACAGCCGTAATTGTTTCAAAGGTCCTCACCGGAGGCAGTGGGACACAGCTGCTCCTCCAGCCTGTTACCGTGGAAACCTCAGAGACTTTCACATTGTGATGAGGGTCATTTGTGTTTTCATCTGAAGGAACAAAGAAAAAACAAAAACTACAGAAGATGGAGGAGGGAAGGCCAGGACTGGTGAGCTGTCAGACACAAACAAAAATATGTGCATTTTATAAACATACTTGCTTCTGTCTTCTTTCATCTGGTGACTCTCAGCCCAGTGCTCCCTCTCTGTTAGCTCTGGGTTTGGTCTCCACCACCTCCTGAGGGAAACCTCCAGCTCTGGAGCTGCTAGAAGCTCCATTGTGTTCCCCAGCTGGAGCCCGTTTCAAGAAGGAGGTTTTGTTGAAACTCTGAGTTTGTTAACCCCGAAATGAGGAAAACTCTGAGTTTTCGGTTTCAAAAACGGAGGTAACTTAAACCCGTGAAAGTGGGGTAAGTTAAACCCGTTTCAAAAAGAGAGGTAATCTAAACTCAGAGTCAGTTACTATGGCAACTTACTCTGTGAACCTAACCTGGTCGGGAGCAGGTTTTGTTCGGGAAACCCAGAGTTTCCTCCGGTCTCTGCCCCTTTTTAAAGTGAAAGGTGTTTAAATAGGCCTACCTCAGTTGATTTTTTGTCATATCCCCATGTATTTTTATTTGAGCGGTACCGTTTTTCTAGAGAGTCC